AATGGTGGGTGGAATGGAAATGGAAAAGAGGACATACCAGGGGAAGGGAAGTTCCGCGGAGGGGTCGCATTTTGCAAAAATTTCCCACATCGTGGTGGTATACCCTTATCTGGGTACCAGCGGCGCAACTGGGTGATTTCAGCATTAGGGTGGGGGCCGGGAAGAAGACCCCGTGCTGTTTCCCGAGATGGATGTGGCACATGCATGAGTAACAGGACCATGTTGCCTTTCCGAGGCCTATCAGGCTGCCCAGTTGGTCAGCTGTTCGGAACTGTACACCTCTCTGTCCTTGTCCTTTTTACGCACTTCCTTGACCGAGTAAAAAACCGATGTAGTTAAAAGGACAGGAAAAGGCAAAAAAAATGTTAACAGAATAAAAATAAAGCAGAAACGACAGCTCTATAATTTCAGCTGATTCTCCCGTATCTCGACATCGACATCAAATATTTTGATCTTGGCCTGCCTCATAGGGATGAAACAAATGACGAGGTAAGTCCACTTCCTTTGTTTTACAGCAGTCATGAAAATTGAAAATGAAAGTGAAGCTGTAGACGGAAGTTCTGATTGAGTTTGATGAATATGAAGTTGAAAGTGGCGGTGATATTTGCATGTATCGATTGGTCACTGGTTGCGTGACGCACGATCATGAATGAATACCTACAAGGAAGTGTGAAGTTCATAACGTTATACTATTGCAGGTTACCCATGCGGCAGCCGAAGCCATTAAAAAATACAGTGTAGGTATCAAATGTGCTACAATAACACCGGATGAAGCAAGGTTGGTCCTGTATAAATCTGTGTGCAATTTTCGGGAGAGGATAAGACAGTCGTAATTCGTCGCATCGTCACGCGCGGCGTGTGCTGCAGCGATGTGAGACAAATTCTCGACGTGAGTAGGTTGATTGAAGGAAGTGAAACTCTTGAAAATATCGAATTTCCTCTTCACTTTGACTTATATGCAAACAGCTTGGCGGGACAACTTGTCCATCGGGCGCGGCGTCGCTCGCCACTCCCACCAGCGGCACATTACGATTGTCTTGTCACATACCCCAATTTCTGTAGCAAGTGAATAAATCCAAATATTAAGAGTGAAAGAGTTCAAGTTGAAGAAAATGTGGCTGTCACCAAATGGAACTATCCGAAACATCCTAAACGGTGAGCGATCAGTTCTTATTTAATTAATTAATAATTGTTGAAGTAATTATTAATTAATTATTTAATTATTGAAATTAATTAATAATTATTGAATAATTTTGTATATGTTCCGTTTTTTTTCGATTTTTTCCTCTATTTCTGAGCGCTAAGCTTCAACGTCGAGAACGTCAGCCAAGTTTTTATAATCAGCTGTGCTTTCTATAGGAACTGTATTCCGGGAGCCAATCATTTGCAAAAACATTCCACGTTTGGTGCCTGGTTGGGAGAAGCCGATTGTAATTGGAAGGCATGCCTTCGGTGATCAGGTATACCAGTTATTCCGATCACAAGTGCTAGTATGGTGAGAACTTCCTTATTCAAAGTGGTGCCGTTTCAGTACCGTGCCACCGATCTCGTTGTACCGGAAGGTTCAAAGCTGGAGCTTGTCGTAACAGGTGCGTTTTCGTGACAAAGCAAGTTTACTAGGAGGGAGGGATTTGAAGAGCTTCTTTGTGGAGGACAGAAGTCCTTTGAATCCCCGTTCCCGCATAGAAGGGAAGGGGGGGGGTGCTCCCTATTCCCTTGTGCAAAGGAGATTTAATGGTAACCCCAGTATTTCAGAAAGATCCCCTTATGCTCCCTCTAGAGAACTTGTCCTTAGTGACAGTGACACCAAGCCTCATTCCTAGGTTTCACTGGACAAGGTGCCTGGGCTTAGCACCGTTCCCCATTTCCACTGTCAAATAGGATCTTCTGCGTTTGGACTCGTAGTTTGCTTTCTGCTGAACTTCATAACATCTTAATCATGATGTACAATGTATAATCGCTTTAACATGATTGGGCGGGCTAAGAGCTTGTACAGCAAGTACGCTATTGGCGGAAACTATTAATTACCAATCAGGTGCGAAGTTTGCATGCGACCCGCTACAACGAAGATCCGCGTTTGGCACTGGAGTTGGGTGCAATTGCTCACTTCAGCGCTTTCAAGAGAACCCCATCCCCTGCGTCCGTATAACACAATTATTTGTCCATTTGTTTTATCTGTAATAAGGACTGGGAGAGCACCCACTGTCGATGTCAGACAATTTCCGTTTTAGGGCCGAACGGTAAGGAAGAAAGGAGGACCGTCTTCGACTTCAAAGGCACGGCTGGTATTGGAATGGCCATGTATAATACTGATGAGGTAGGACATGTGCTTTGCCACCTAAAGGACATTGGAATTCCAACAACAGTTTTACTTTTCAGAGCATTCGTGGTTTTGCCCATTCGTGCTTCCAATATGCTCTAATGAAAAAATGGCCGCTTTACTTAAGTACGAAAAATACTATTCTTAAGCGATATGACGGGCGTTTTAAGGACATCTTCCAAGAGATTTATGAAACGTATGTCTTAATTCGTGAAGGACAGCATTTCTGAAACAAGCATCCATTGTTTCAGGAACTACGAGAAAGATTTCAAATCAGCTGGTACTTGGTATGAGCACCGATTGATTGATGATCAGGTATTGTTGACTGTCAGCTAAGTTTTTGTGCCTTACAGAGTTGGCTACGCACGGTGTGTGTAACCGGTTACTCTCTTAGCAGAATGTGTCCACTAATCATTCCTTTATTTTTCGGTACCACTAAATAACGCTATATATTTCTATATATATGTGAGTATCTAGAAGTTTGTTAAGAGCTGTAATTAGTTGATAGCCTTTTGTTGCCCTAAAACTCTCTTTTCGAAATGTTAGCTATTAGGAAAGAACTTTGGCAACAGCCTCGATTCTGTCGTCGATTCTTCAATATTCCAGGTCGCTCAATGCCTTAAGAGTGCTGGTGGTTTCGTCTGGGCCTGCAAGAATTACGACGGTGATGTCCAAAGTGATATTGTTGCCCAAGGTGAGAAGTTTTGGGAATCTGAAAGGGATCTGAGGAATCTTTAAATCCACAAATGACAGTTCTCCAGCTCCAGCTATTTCCAGGTTACGGCTCGCTCGGTTTGATGACTTCAGTTTTGATGTGCCCTGACGGAAAAACTATGGAGGCTGAAGCGGCACATGGTACTGTTACCCGACACTACAGAGAGTATCAAAAGGTGAGCGTGTTTGTGACTTTCCTTTGCTTCTGATGGCGAGGGGGGTTTTCAACCGGAGGCTCAGGGTAGAGGAGGGAGGGTTCGGGGTGACGGGCTTGACGCGTAACTGAAGCTGAACTTTTTTTCAGGGGAATCCGACGTCCACGAATCCGGTAGCATCAATTTTCGCTTGGTCCCGAGGACTGCATCATCGTGGAGTATTGGACAAAAATGAAAAGCTGAAGAGGTGAAGACTATGGTCGAATGATCTGACTCCAACATAAGTTTAGCCCGCTTGGGTTATTATGGCCTGCTTGTTTCCAGGTTTGCCCACAAACTGGAGAAAGCTTGTATTGAAACTATCGAAGAAGGAAAAATGACTAAGGATCTGTCTATTTGCATACATGGTTCCAAGAAAGGCGCTGAGAAAGGCATGTTCCTTGTAACGGAGGACTTCCTCAGTGCTATTGACAGCAAGCTGGCCAGCTTGATGAAGGAGTAGTGCATTTTTAGGTTCTGTTATCCAGATTATTTATTGAATAAATGTTTTTGTTTTCGGGCATAGGCCTTTTCACACAGCTTACAATGTGAATTATTTAAAAACTTGTGTAGGAAATGGTAGCAACAGAAGGTCGAATGAAAAGTTTGAGATTGTCGAGCAGTAGCTGAGTGAAAAAGGAGATAACCACTCAGATTACGAGAGCCGACTTGGGCGCAAAGAGATGGGGGAGCGGGGGGGGGGGAAAGACGCGGCTTGCGACGAAACTAGTCTGGACTGGGGACGTGTTGTCAGTTGGAATCGCCGGAGGGCTTGGGCTCGACGTTGCCCTCGTAATTGTACAGTTGACGAATACCTTTTGTATGGAAGGGATTCAATAGGTCACACACTCCTCTCCTAAGCCCTCTAACATGGTGGCCCTGTGGATCGACGCGCGCCACACTGAGTTCCTGCGTACCCGGCTGGTTATTTTTCCAGGCAACAGGCTCAACCATTTCGCTAGCTCTTCTAAGGCTTATTGCGTTGAGATAAATGATCACTCTCTCGATGCGAGACACAGATCAGCAGCTTCAGATGGTGTCTCGCGTTCACCTTTCGTTTAGCTTTGACGAGCACCAGATTCATTGTGTATGCCAAACTATCACGGCAAGGGGATGCAGCATCTGGCAGGCATTAATCAGTGCCATAAATGACCCTTAATATGGGCAGTGATACCCAAGGTAGTATTCCTATCCCTATCTGTATTCACTTCTTTTTGAAGTAGTTTTTACATGGACAAAAACTAGGTAGCAAATCGACCGCGCCTGTCCTCTTGTGAACCTTTTTTCCGACTCCCTGACCCTCAATAGAGCTGTCGAGATTAAAACGTAGGCGGGGGAGGGGGGCGGGGGAGCTCATCAGAAACATGCTTCCAGTTGCTGAGCAACCTTACACATGCCATACTTCAAAGCGGGAAGCTACAGTCTCGATCCTCGCCTCGGTTCTGGATGTTCATTTGAATCCAAGTTTAGAAAGGTGCGGCCTCAGAAATTACAAGGTTGCTTAGCTGCTACTCTGGGCGATCTCCCCACATAGATACTGTATCGACATCTGAAGCTACTCGGTGAGTAGAAGGAGACCTCACTTTGCAAATCCGGAGATCCAAAACGCCTACGTTTGGAATCTTTGAAGTCTTTTGCTAGGGAACTTTTTGATGCATCTTCATGTTTTCACATTTGAATTCTATTGAGGCTCCGCTCCAGCAGTGCCGTAATTCTGATCTGATATAACTATCGGTTTCTCCACAAAATGTAAGACTAATCTTCAGAAATGCGACAAAACTTTCCCACCAACCTAGTATGCTCAACACATCCCGCAGGGGGCAGGCTCACACCATTTCAACGTGTAAGTAGACGCGTTTGTTTCAGATATTTGAGAGATATTTAGACAGATTTGAGAGATACGTGAGATATTCCCGTTTGAGAAAAATGTCATCCTTCTTGTACATCCTGTCTTGTATTGAACAAATGCCTCTATGAAATTGTCCCAAAAGAAGATACTTCTCAGAAGCACTGTAGCCGCCAAGCTTGAAGTACGCAGCCACGTATTCCTCAGAGGCGCAGCTTGACGATGCGGGGGGCACTTTCGTTGACTTCACTAGTTCCGGTTTACAAGTCTCACTCTGGTGAAACCTGTGAACTCTTGTGAAGCTGGAGCAAGCTCGTCAAGCCATCATGGTAAAACCTGTTAACTCGGAAGAGGCTGTCTAGATGGGTCGACACGTCGATGGGAAGGAAGTATCAAAAGTACAAAATAATCCCCCCCGTTGTCAAACTGCACCCTACCCAGAAGATTGCGGCAGCATAAACATCCGAGTGAGTTGGTCAAAATGGGCAGAGATCTCAGGCCTTGATGCTGCTTCAGTCGTCTCTTGACCCTCACTTGTCAAGGCAGGTTCAACGGACGACAAAGGCAGCATCCATGAGATCTCCACTGTTTCGCCCAGCGCGCTCGGCCATTGATGCAGCTTCAATTTTCTGAACCTCCTTGTCCGTGGTATGAGGTGTATACTTTGTGGTTAATTGTGCAGCACGAGGCCAAAGGCTCATGCTGCACCTCTAGCTTTATAACACATTTCTCCCTAGTCGAAATCTTAATTTGGACGTCCTTCTGTGACGCCTTTTCTTTGCCAGCTGTCTATTCCACCATTCCCACTCCCTCCAGATTGATCTAAGCCCTTCGCAGCAACCTGAGTTCAATCTAATCCCCTGGAGAACACAAATAGTTGCCTGATTTGTTTCGTAGCCATGACTGCATCGAGTACAGTCGTCATCCTTGCACTTGATAGGGGCGTGTCGGCGAGAAGGAGCGTGCACACTGTTTGAAGCCTTCTCAGCCTTTTCGTTGAAACGCGTATGCGACAAAAAGTGATAGAAAACGAGTAACACGAAGGATATAATACAGTAATGTCACTTCCTGGTTCAACGATTGGTGCAGTACGGGTGCGGGCGACCGCGCCGCACGCAGCCGCACTGACATTGACTATCAAGTGCAAGGATGACGACTGTACTCCGTGTTTATTTGATGTCGGGCGCCTTCTTTGGACATAGTGGT